AGTTATAAATGAGACCCACATCATTTATTCGTGTTATATTAATAAATATGTAAAAAAACGTAGACTTTTTTTTAAATTTTAGAATAATTATTTTAATTCTTGTCGAAATTAAATTAGTACATAATTAAAATCAGTTGTAAATCGAATTTTTGTAGGGGGAAAAAGGTTAAAAAAATGTGTTTGTTTTTCTTTGAAACTACCAAAGTTTAAGGAAAAGATAGATTTACAGGGGCAAACAGTTTTAATTCAATTATTTAAAAAAGTTATCCGGAGAAAAGTGAAGCATTGAATGCTCTTCGATCTCTATTTATTCTATTGCTTACGACAATGACTAAAGAGATTTTTTCAAGACCAAGGACAAAATCTTGACTGAGGTAGATAATGAAATGAAGTAAATGAAGAGATAAATAAATCTAATTAAAGATCTAAAAATTGTTTTTAGTCTTTTAGGAATTACAATTTACTTTTCTCGCTCATTTCCGTTTAGTTTCTTAAATTATCAATTAGTTCATCGATCTTTATTTATTTGCCGATAATTTTACATAATATTAGCAAATATTTAATATGCAAAATTTAAATTTGTTTCACAGTTTTTGAAAAATATCTGTCAAAACGATCTCACTCCGTCAGAAGTTAATGAAAGGTTGTCATTTCTAGGCGATTATAACTAATAACGACATAAAAATTATTAAATTATACGGTTAAACAATGTTTAAAATATTATAAAATTTCATAAATTAAATAAATAGTTTCATGATTATTCTGGTTTTTCTAGTTAAATGATTAATATTTGTTGTACTATTATTATCGTATCGATGAGTAATTTATAATATAAAGTATTGTTAAGTGAATATTATCAAACAAGAAATAACTTTATATTTTATTCTTCTTTTAAATTACATTTACCGACACGATAAGTGCAAAATAGTATAATAAAATAAGTCAATAATAATAATGTTTTCTGGATAAATGCAGGAATAATTATTATAATCGACTAAAGAAAATAAAATAAAATAAACAAGCAAAAATTAAATTTACAGCAATCAGTTCATCAATTGAATTCCTTTTCTTGATTTCTTCATTTCTAGTGCAACAAACGAAACGCTATTTGTATAAGAGCAATTAATGGACGTTAAAACAGGAAATTACTTGTTAGTCTACAACAAGTGGGTTTGATCATTAATGAACAATCACTGTGTAGGAATTTGGTTCCGAAGTAAACGAAAAAGGGAAATTACAGTATTAATTGTCACTTCAAAGGGTCAGTATTAGGTTCCCAGGGTACCAACTCCGAGGTTATCCATTTAACTTTCCTCCATTGTATTCGCTTCCTGTTCCAATTAGGGAAATTCCCTGCGACGATAAGAATCCCTAGAGACGTTTACTGTATCGAAAGATTGTCTCGGCGAATATTCGTTCCAGTTACTTGGTTGAAAAAAAAAGAGTTAGCAAAGTACTGGAAAGAGACAGGCAAACCTTAGTTGATTACATTATGCTTTTGGTATTCAATATAAAAGTAAAAACTTATTTTCAAAATTGAAATAAAGTTTTAGTAGAGTATATTTCGTATTAGGTTGCGAATTCTAACATATTATGTAGAAAAATGCGTTTGGCAATTCAGTAAAAAGTATGAGCCAAGTTCAAATATATGCCATACGACGTATCGGTATCATGTAGCCTTTATTTATACATTTGCTAGAGTAAAAACGTCTTCAATATCATACAAAATATTCTTCTTATAAGATATTATATTTGAAAAATAAGTCATATTTCCAGTCAATAATCTCGACACGATATAAGAGCTGCGGTTTCATACGCAAACTCCATTTACTAAGATAGCGAAGGATCCATAATCGATGACTGTTACGAACTTCTATATGTAATGAACCGGAATCGATCGCCCAACTACAATATTACTCTTATAACACGAGTTTAAATCGCATTAAATCTAAAGTTTTTCGATTTAAAAGTTTATTAATAATTTATGTACAGAAAACTTTCGAAAATACTAATTAATAATCAAAGATTTATTATTATCATTAGAATATTTAATATTGCTATTAACAGATTTACTATTAAAGATAGTAGATTTACTAGTAATAATAATTATGAATTTACTATTAATGGTAGCAGATTTATGTCTTTAACACTAATATTTTACTGCTAATAATAATTACATAGTTATATATTTATGTATACGTATATATTATTAACAGATTTAATAAATGTTATGTTTGCTCTAACTGTGGTAATGCACGTTCGAAATATAATTATTACGCGAAAATACGGACGATTTATTAACTCAATTTTTGTTATTTATTAAATAAAATCTTGTATTTTAATCATTTTATTGTTAACAATTACTTTTTATATAAAATTTACGGAATAATTAAATCGAACAGAAAAAATATATAGGTCTGTCGTAATACGTCATACCGCGACTTTTAAAAAGGTATTTTTCAAAATGATAATTGAAGTAAATATAGTTTCAAGGAATTTATTAAAGAGTAAAAATGTTAACAATGTAATTAAAATAAATTACGGTTAAAGGAAAATACAAAATAAACGGAAAATGCCACGAGATTTTCATTATATACGGACTTTTTAAAGGATAGAAAAATCCCTCGATTTAAGGAACATCTTAAATTTAAGAAGCACCAATTTTATGTTCAGAAAAATGAAAAAAGTGAGTCTTAAATTCGAAAAAGTGAAGTATATGAAAATTAAAAGACGTAGATATGTTTAAATGAAGTGCTAATATTATTTTTTTAATATAGAATATTTTGTGTACTTTATTTAAATATAACATATATAAACTTTTCTATTTTTTTATTTACTCTCTTTTTTCTTTAAAAAAAAAGGAAATGTGTGAAAAGTGTATCGAAGAAAACATTTATTCCAATATAAACACATCCTTTGGGTAAGGACTAGCAAAACATTCTTTCGCTATTTTTCAAGTCAAATTTAAATTACTCGAAAAGATTTTAGAATATTAATTTCAATAGATGTCAATATTTTATATTTAGCTACAATACTATAGAAGGCTAAAAACTTATTATTACAGATAATACTCGCAATGCTTTTAAAGTTACTGTTTTTATTGGAGAAAATATTAAAATGTTTATTTTCAACAAAACTAATTATTATAAATGGTTGCAAAGAGCCTGTCCTTATTGTGAAAGGCATCGAAAGTGAAATCTTTTCTAAAGATACAATTAAACTTTATCTAAAATATACAGTCGGATAAAAGGAGTGAGTGACAAGTTGATTCTCTTGTGATCCGAAGGCGAATCCGAAAATCTTGAAAAAACTTAATCGAGGATTTCCAAGAGTTTATTCGGATAATTCGTCTTTAAAAACGGATTTCTTTGTAAAAATACGTTTCTTAATAAACAAATTGTTAATTATAAATTTAAGTAAATAATCAATTCATTAACCTTTAAGACGAAACTAAATTTAAATTTTGCGACGCATTTCCTCATTTTTCCAATACTTTATTGATAATTTAATTAAGAAATAATTACTGGAATTCGTTAGTCTTACATTTAAACGTCATTTAGATATTCTTAATTTTCTTAGTTTCTTAATAATAGTAATTTAAATCAGGTAGCAGCGCGTATAATCGTTCTGTAAACTTGGCCGAGCGTTCTGTAAAACTCCGATAGCATACACGCTTCGATACCAAATTTGAGATCTGTACAATTTGAAAAGCAAATTTCAAGTTGTATTAAGTGTTTAAGATTAATTTTAAAGAATTTGCGCGTTCAAATATGCCACAAATTTTTCTCGTAATTATTATTTATCAACAAAAAGATCGATTTAACGTTAAAGTGGCGGCGCAAACCTTAATTATTTTTCGGATTCTGAAAAATGCTGAAAAACATTAAAATAATATTGGAAATAACACTAATTACTAATAAAAAACGAATAAGTACAAGAATTAGTAAGAACAAAACATAATAAAAGTCAATTTGGGTAAGACTATCGAAGAGAAGAGAACTTTTCAATGAAACTACACCGCATCACTTGATAAAAATCAGTTTCAGTTGTCATTTTAAATATCTTTTAGCGGATTTTTCATATAAAAAAAAATGTTACTCTACAAAGCTGTGTTTTGTTATTGTATATACAAACTTTCGATAAAAAAAAAAAATAATTTAAAGATATAAACATTTATACGGTGTTACAATAGAAAGTTTAAGTAGAGAAACCACTCAGGAAATCTTGTATCTCTTACTGTCGAGATTCACTTCAACAGCTTCCGTTAAAACTATCGCCTTGTAGAATTCCACAATCTGTTAATCGGATTAAGTGGACTGTAATCCTGCCTTACAACTTTGAAAATTATTATTTCTTTAGGCTGTTTCTTTTAAAAATTAATATGTTTATTTATGATTGACTTTTATTATCGCATACACTATCAAACGATGTTGAAGTTATTTCTTTTCGGTTTGAGTTAACGGAAAATTCCAAAAAGTTGATATTTCTTAACTTTAATATAATTTAAATATATATATATTTACTCAATTGTTATTATAACTTAATCTAAATTTTTCTGGAAACATTATGAAAATTTAACTTTTCTAATCTCTCTAATACTGTTTGGGGGTAAGCCAATATTCATACGTCGATTTCTAAACACATTTATTTTCAAAAGATAAAAAGAAAGAAAAAAAAAAGAAAATTGAAATTTTTAAAAAAATTTCTGTCAGATAAAAAACAAAGAAAGGAAAATTAATTCATTTTTTAAGGCTGAAGTTCAGTTCTTTCAGATTTGTTAACCTTACACTTAACAGCAATATACAATGCTAAAATCTATAACGTAAAACATAATTTGCATAATGATCAGAACGCTTTCTGTTTGAAATATATATACACATATATATATATATTTTTTTTAAATAAAATTTTCAAAATTTCTATTTTATTTTTTTCTGGATAATTTTTTCCTTGAATGTTTTGAACTATGATCCATTAATAATTGATAATAACAGGCTTACCTTAATGCAGAGAAGAACCAAATAACTGCAACACCTTCTACTGAATGTGAACCACGGCTCTTTGTAGCTCACTTTTATATCTCGTACAGTACTGCACGTGCTCGTGCTGTACGAGAAAAGCTATTCTATTGGAAGATGAAGTGTGACGTCAACACGCCTCCAAGAAAATGAAATGATAAGAAAGTGAGACATCTGTTGCTTTTTTAAATAATGAGAAATGGATTCGAAAATGTGATTAATGATGTTAATACTTTCTCATCTCCATCTTGATTCCTACATTATGTCTCTGCTTAGTATACTTACTCAACTATATTTATAACATAAGGCTCTAATTTGTTTAGAAAACGTCTTAAATGTATTTAATATTAACATTTCCACATAATAATTTAACGATAATCACTTACAAACACCGAATAGTTATAATTTTTTTCAATAATTATTAATTATAATCAGTTAACGTGAAGATTTAATTATATTCAGCTTCGTGTGTTAATTAATTATATTTTTTTACACGAAAGTTAATTGTAATTTATGAAAATTATATTTAATTTAATCGATAAAAAAACAGTTTTTTTATTTTATCTTATTTTATAAATTCTAAACCCCTGTAGATTTGTATAGATATTTGTTTTTTCTTATACTTTTCAATATAAAAATTGGCTTATTGTTACTGATATTTATATATTTTCTTTAAAAAATAAAGTAAATAATGATGTTGATTATGAAAAATATTAGAAGTAAATAAAATTAATTAATTAAACAAACTTTTTTAACATTTATTTTTTAATTATATATCGTTTTATGGCGCGTAATATCGTCGAAATAACTTTAAAAATATACTTGAAAATTACTTAAAAAATAAATTTAGATATGGGAAATATTATCATTGGTTGACATCTAATTGATATTTAAAGAATTCAATGACTTTCGTTTACAATTTTGTCATCAAATTTTCAATTCTTCGAATCTATCTCAGTATTATTTAGCTGTATTAGTAAATCAAGAAGCGGTAATATGTCCAAATTTTAAATATAAATTCGAGTAATTTGAGTTAAAAAATGAATAAAAAATATAGAAAAAATTATTCTTAATGAAAATAATAGAGATGAATCGGATAGCAAGAGTCCGGTTTCAATAAAAAATATATATTTATTATGGAAAGTATGATGTCGATTCTGAATAATGTCACTTCTCCCCAATAGAAAAAATAATAATTTATTAATAAAAAAACGAATTAACGATTTAATTTTTAATGAGATGACTTTTAAAATGAATTTTTTTCCAAAGTTTTATAAACTAATAATACTTTTTTGAGGCAATTATTCAGAATTAATAGCTGTAGTTAGTTTACGAGGTAACTTTTTTTCACGCTAGAACGAACGATTGGTTAGTGGATAGGAAAAAAGATTTTGGCAGTATATCAGAGGGTCACAACTCGTCTAAGATAGAGATTTTACCATAAAAATATCATCATAATAATAAATTCATCAATAATTTATCAAAACATACGAAATATTTTCATTCTTCGTTTACATTATTTTACCGAAATGATGTTTTATAACAACATAAGCTTAGTAAAGCGTAAGAGCTAATATACGTATATATATACTGAACATATTTTACATATTATCATTCAAAATTTCCTATTTTATATATTTCTTATATAAAATTCGGATATTTTCTATAATGATACCTATAACGACGTCGTTAATCTTGATAATTGATGTATTGAATCGGCCTAAAAAATGATTCGATTTAAATGGTTTAAATCGATTTGTTATACGAAAAACTTTGACTGAATCTTATAGAAATGTCGAATCAAATCTAAGTTTGGATATAAAATTCAGTTTACTTTAATAATTCAATAGAAATTTTTTCCTTTTTTTTATTTTTATTTTTTTGTACAAATTATTCTTAAGAATATATTTTTCCTCGTTAACGCATTTGACATTACGCATATTTAATTAAAAGAATATGAAACTATATCGATTATGTACTAAGAAAATTCATTTAATTTAAAATTTAGATTTACTTAAATAATTTTACTCATCAAGAAATCGCGTAAGATTTAATCATTTACAAATATTAAAACGCAAAATTGACGAATCGAAAGTTAAATATTACTTGAAAATTATGTTTAAAAGCTAGAACAAAAGCTAAAATTTCTGATTTAAAATTTATTCTTTTAAATTTTTTTTTATTTCTTATTTCCTTTACATAATTACCGAATATCGACGAGATAATTGAAATCTGCATAATTATTTCTTAAAATTAAATAATGATGACAACCTGACTCGAAAATAAAAAAGTGACTTCATTTAATTATATATGCCCAATTAAAATACGTGTAAAAATTTTATTCTTGTACAAAATATATTTTTTTAGTTTGTAATAATTAATAATTTAACACGAATGTGAATAACAATTGTTATTCTCTACTACAAATAATATAAAATACTGTAGTTTTAAAGGTTTATATTTTTAATATTTTTATAAATTTTTAACTAAAAAAAATAATAATAAATTGAAATATAATTTACCTTTTCATTTTATTTTTGAGTGAAAGTTGATTAAAATGTTTTATAAATTTATTATTATTTTTTAAATATTGATTAATTATTTCCTTCCGCGTTTTTATTATTGTAAATCTGAACAAAGAATTAAAATATATACAGTACTTCAATCAATTTTAAATCCATTGAATTTTATAAAATATTAAATGTTTTTCATTTATTTTAATATAATTTTCCATCCTTTTTTTAAATAACATTGGCTGATATTTTGTTGTAAAATAAATTTTAACAGTATCATTTCTTATTTTATAAAATTTTTAGTATGTAATTGCTTACTGTTCTCACAATTAGTTGTGTCTTTCGGAATTAACACAAAGTTGCTGTTGAGAACAAATCACACAGAAATACTCTTTTTTGATGGAAAAAGTAGATTTATTTTCTACAATATAGAGACAAGATATGCATTTCGAGTTTAATGCTCCTTTTTAGTTCTATTTTATTTAATATATCGGCAATAAACTAAAAATTATTGTAGTGACAATTGGAATAACCGATTATTAAAACCTTTGAGCAAAATAAGTAAAACTGGAGCAATAAAATTATTTTTGTTAAATCATATAAAACCATGGGCTAATACTAGTAAAACTGTAAAAATAATTATAATTACGTTAAAATATATGAAAAAATTTTTGATTAAAAAGATAGTAAAACATAGCTTTAAACCATTACTTTATAAAACTTCTAAAGTTTTATATACATATATATATATTTTTTTTAAATAAAATTTTCAAAATTTCTATTTTATTTTTTTCTGGATAATTTTTTCCTTGAATGTTTTGAACTATGATCCATTAATAATTGATAATAACAGGCTTACCTTAATGCAGAGAAGAACCAAATAACTGCAACACCTTCTACTGAATGTGAACCACGGCTCTTTGTAGCTCACTTTTATATCTCGTACAGTACTGCACGTGCTCGTGCTGTACGAGAAAAGCTATTCTATTGGAAGATGAAGTGTGACGTCAACACGCCTCCAAGAAAATGAAATGATAAGAAAGTGAGACATCTGTTGCTTTTTTAAATAATGAGAAATGGATTCGAAAATGTGATTAATGATGTTAATACTTTCTCATCTCCATCTTGATTCCTACATTATGTCTCTGCTTAGTATACTTACTCAACTATATTTATAACATAAGGCTCTAATTTGTTTAGAAAACGTCTTAAATGTATTTAATATTAACATTTCCACATAATAATTTAACGATAATCACTTACAAACACCGAATAGTTATAATTTTTTTCAATAATTATTAATTATAATCAGTTAACGTGAAGATTTAATTATATTCTGCTTCGTGTGTTAATTAATTATATTTTTTCTTCTTCATCATTTATATCATTTTCGTATAAATTACATTAAAATCATTAATACTTTTGATATCTTATGTTGTTCGCACATAAAAAAATCTGAAATATTAAACTATAAATAGTTTAAATGTGACTTACATGGAAATCTATACCATCTGTCATGATAAATTGTTAACCGTTGATTCGTTTTTTGAAACCGTGTTTTCGTATTTATTTACTATTAAACACAAGACTGTGTTATTATTAAAACACTTGGCGTTTATCCACTTTATTTGTGTTTAATAGTAAATAAATTGTTAACCATTGAATTACTTTTTGTTGTATAAACTTAAAGAAATTATAAATTAATAAATTATTATAAGATAGAGATTAAAATGGAAATTTTTAGTATACAATTTCTTAAATATCATTGAAATTTATATATTGTATATAATCTTATAATTGAGAAATGTTTTCTTTTATCTTTAGCAAGACAGGATATATATTTCAATGCGTTTGTTTTGTGGGCCTTGATCAGGGATAAGTGATGCACAGAGGTTTATACTGTATATCTCAATTTTTAGTTTGTTTATTCAAATATTCAACCTAATAGATTATATGTTAAAAATATAGAATAAATAATTGTTATTTAGTAAAATTATAGAGGTTTTTATGACACGTTTTTATCGAGTTATATTTTAAATTTTTTTATAACTTACAAACTCATAATATTTATAAATATAATTTTATAATGTAATCTGATCTGTGTAGTTTATGATCGCCTTATTAAGTATAGAAAAAAGCAGTATATTGTAATTTCTAATTAAGTTTGAATTACATCAGCTTAAAAGGCTTGATTATAAAGACGATGAAACTATAAAAGAACATGAAATGTTTTTGAGATTGAAATCATTATTGAAACATTCAGCTGAATATCTCTAGAAAACGGATAAATTATTTTACCTTTAATTATTTGAAGTAATGATAATGAGAATAATGTTAGATAATACATTAACATATTCAAAATATTAAAAGAAATGATATCATTATGATCTCTTGTATAATATTAACATTAAAATAAAATCAGATTTATCATCTTGTTGAAATAATCTCCCTCATTATATGCTAAAACGAATAGAATTATAAATAAAATAAATTCTTAAACATTTAATGAATAAATCATAGGCCTACTATTTAT